AAGTTTTGAGACGTCATTTGGCTCTGAAGCGAGCTAAAACTCTAAACACTATAAAAATGGCCTACTATTATCACAACATTTCACACTCGGAGGAGCACAAAGATGGCGGACGCCCATATTTGGATAGGTCGAAATAGGTCAGTGACGTCACGTGAAAGCCAAGAATATAACCTAGATTATTAGGAGTTTTTTCGAATAAGCAATTAAATAGTATAGAACCGATCCCATTCAAAATTGGAGGGTTTTGCCCTCTTGAAGCTCAAAACGCGCGCGTCGTGAGCTCAAATCAAACGTTCAAAAGTAGGCAGGAACCTTAAATGTCCGTTAAAAATTGGCCAATCATAGTTCGTTCAAAAGTGATCACGTGGTACAGAAAATCGATCACGTGGTGCATATTCATGGGCTGTTTATTTCCTATAGTAAGCAGTGAGCGAGCGCCGGGCAGTTCATTTTAGCGACTAAAATATCTAATAATGTCTAATAATTATCTAATAATTATCTAATAATTACTAGGAGGGTTAAAACCATACGCGGTACGTTAACTTTTCTTTCTCTTTTCACAGCTTGCACAAGAACGAGGACGGTTGCCTGAAGGAAGTGCTAAGCATGACTTAGCGGCTTACAGCAATCATGCAGAACCCCACATGTCGCTAAGGTCAGTCACTATTGGTTGTTTGGTCTCTTGGTTTATATTTTACTTCTGTTTTAAAATAATAATAATAATAATAATAATATAATAATAATAGAATAATAATTGATACATAATAATAATAACAATAACAATAATGAAATATTGTAATATGAATATTTAGAATAAAACGATATTGTTTAATTTACGAGATGTTGTTTATACGTAAAATCAGGCCATCGCTTAACAAGCAATCAGACTCTGTAGACACGAGTGAAAAACGTCTGCGCATGCTCTGAATCCGTATGGAAATTAGTCAAAACATAAGTAAATTTGACTTTCAAACATGCCTTATAAATTGGACTTCACAAAATGCCAAAACTTAGTGTCCATGGTTGAAACTTAAGACTAATTCTTTCATATTGTGTTTGTTAATACAGTATCTTGGTCTGACAAAAGTATACTCTCGAACTTTTTTGTATACTTGGAGAAAACAAACATTTATTTTCTCACTCAAACTCTTCAAAAGTCTTAGAAAGCGTGCTGGMGTGCACGCATGCGCAAACGTTTTTCTCTGGTGTCGACTCTATAGAGAGTTTTCACGTGACGTCACAGCGGTCATGTTGTTGTACCAAAACATCACATTTCCTATCCTCCGGGAATTGAACTCTATTATTTGGTACACCAATATGGCTGCCTTGTAATGTGAGTGAAAACGCTCTGTACGTGCGAAGGTCTTTGTGTAATAAACTATGGTTGAACTTAGCAACATACTATTAGATTCTGTACGTATTCAAGCATGAATTCTCTTAAGACACTATTTGTATTTAAAATTCAAAACCATCTAATAAATTCATTTTGAAAATGCCGTCCAGCGAGACGTCGAAACGTCAAATCTCTTCGATTATTTTCATTGCACAATGTCTTGATAAGGGTTTACTACTCAAGATCGTTTTTCTTTCACAGGAATAACCGTGCTTACTGGGAGAACCTCGTACCTTGTACTGGTCGCCCAGATTCTAAACCTTTCTCTCAAACTGTCGGAAGCTGGAAGAGTGTCTCATGATTTTAGCTAACTGAAAAATACCAATTTAGTTACTCTCACCATGCAGGATACAGCACTATCGTATGCCRCGATACGAATGAATGGGCTTCCTGTGTTTTGGACGCGTTTAGCAAGAAACCCAATGATYGTGAAAACAATGAGGGGTAGATGAATAAGATGATTATTAATGGTAGGGAACAAAGAAACGATGTTGATAGCAACGAATAATGATAATGATAAGATCTGGTCTTGTTGAGTACGTTAATACCGGTTATTGTCTTTGTTGCGCGTAACTGTTTTTATATCTTCGAGAAAGATTAAAGATTCTCGTGATGAGTAAAATTGTTGCAGTTTTTAATGGGTTGCCTGTGGTTATCCAGCCTAAAAATGCGTTTTTTTTCTTCTGTTTTCTATTTCCTTCTCGATAAAAAGGAAAAGTTGCGCAATACTACCCAGAAGTGTTTTCAACATTTCCCAAAAGGYTGTTGCGGGCATATGGTACAGAGATAGTGGGTATAGTTTGATTTATAGCGGCTTTGCATCATCACGTGATGGCAGCAATGACAGGAGGCAGGAACAGTGCAATCTGGTCTCTTCATTTACATGAAAAACAATCGAGTCTCCAGTGGAAAAAGATTATTTTTGTGCCTCCTTTCATGGCTGCCATCACAAGATGGTGCAAAGACTATTGTGTGCCTCCTTTCATGGCTGCCATCACATGATGGTGCAAAGCCTCTATTGTCGTGCCTCCTGTCATGGCTGCCATCACATGATGGTGCAAAGCCTCTATTGTCGTGNATTGTCGTGCCTCCTGTCATGGCTGCCATCACATGATGGTGCAAAGCCTCTATTGTCGTGCCTCCTGTCATGGCTGCCATCACATGATGGTGCAATACCTATATTGCCGTGTGACAGTTGACAATCAATGTCACTAAATAGACCATTTTCGAGTTCCAAACTACCGCTGTGTTTTTTGATTACAGACTCATTTACACAGGGGTTAGCCTCGATTGTGTACAAAATATTCGCATGTGTTCCAGAGGGCTTACCATAAACCACGAAACGAAACGAAACGAAACAATTCAAAATGGCGCCACAACAACAGTAGTTGAAGTATTTCAATATAGTTTATAATTTGTGGCTTTTGGTACATGGAAAGTTTACACTGCTCTCACCACTGAGATTCAAAGTAATCTCTAATTTTCTAAGACATGGAGCTACACAGTTTTCATCCAATTTCATGAGTAAGCTTACAGTTAAACATGGGATCGCAAAGCCTCGGGTTACAGTCTCGTTTCGCATTTTACACATCTGTAAAATGCTAAATGACGGTTTCGCATTTTAAAGATCTGTTAAACGCGAAATCCTCGTTTCGCATTTTGTTTCGTTTCGTTTCGTTTCGTGGTTTATGGTAAGCCGTTCCAGAGTCTAGTCGAGTTTCAAAGTGTTTGTTTTGTATGAGACTAACCCTGAATAAATGAGTCTGTGATCATGGAACACAGCGGTAATTTGAAACTCGAAACTGATCGGCTATTGTCAGAGTGATTTATTGGGGGTGGAGATGCGTATCACGTGCAAATTAATGTCTACGCATGATGTTTTTCGTTAGCTGCTAAAATTCAAGGCTCTTTGAAGAAGTTACCACGTAATCGGGTAGAAGAGCAAGATTTTAATAAAGTTTCCAATTGTCGTTAATTACAGGATCCTAGTCAACTACAGTGCAGCTCTCTTGCACTGCTGGAGCAAAATTTCTGCAAACTCGCTGTGCCAAAGTCCTCAATTTCCCAAAAATTCTTTCCTCAGTTTCATTCCACAGCAAKTAGGTTGAATATTCTTAGAGAGATTCTCTTTGTGTCATAATGATGGCTTAGTTTTGGTCGTCCAACTATTAGACATCAAAACTTTCGAAATCTCCCTTAGATTGGCTGCCAAAATTTCATAAAACCTCGCTGAAAGCTTTAAGAGACTGTATAATCATATGATGGTAGTAAAAATCTAGCAGTAATAACAAGGCCGATGAAACTGGTCGGGTTTCTAAACTTCACCTACAAAAAACGCTTGTACCTCCGGGACGAGCTCACATTTTGACTACCGTTTGCATTCTTGTCATAACTTTGGTTTGAGCTGTCCGCTAAGTGGCTAATAGCTGTGGTGGTTTACGTACAAAATCTTATATTTCGGTRCAGACATAGTTTGAAGGACCGAAGATTGCTTTAATTTAATTCTCTACTTTCGCGTGCTTTGCGCCTTGACGGGGTGCAAAAATCAGAAGAAAACAAATTCCTGAAATGAAATGTTCTTGAATTGAATATACACTTAACCTGCTTTTATCTGTTAAATACTGATTATTAGTTCAGTCCAATTAGTTGATTTCCACCGTTAAGAACATCACACAAGTTTGGTATTGGCTTACGAAGAAATATTTAAAATTTACTTTAAACTTCTTAAAGATTCTATTTCTTTCTGTTTGTTACCATTTCTTTTTATATTTGCATATCACACGCAGAGGTATTTTCAACATTGTCTGATCAGCCTTCAGTACAATGCGTTTTTTCCCCATTAATTGCCCCCAAAGCCGCAAAGTATCATGCGTATACGAAAGTAGAGACATCAAGARAATGGAAGTGATTTCCAGCCTATTTCGTACGAGATGCTGTGAGACAAGTCAACTAAAAAAGTGACTAGCAGTATTACTCGTGGAATGTTGGCGGACTGATTGGTCTCAAACTCATCCCAGACCCACACAGGAGCAATACGAACATTGTTAATGGAGCGGAATGGTTGGGAAACCTATTTTTCTATGTTTTTGCTTGACTTTATCGATATGACGTTGACCGTGCACAGAGAAGAAAAAATGGTTCTGTACTTTGTTTATAGCGGAGCACCATACTTAAGAAAAAATGGTAAACAATTTTTCCATACGACAATCTAGCTGCTCTTGTCTGGCTCTCATCCCAAGCACCCTGATGTTGTTCCACCAAACAAGATGTAGCAGCTGTCTTGACGTTTTAGTACCAACGGCTCCGCTAGTCCATAGCTTTTCTATTTGTTGATCGTCTAGAGCATGACACTGGTTCGGTAGACCAACTTTACCAGCGCTTTTTAGCTGCTTTCTCTTCGACGCTAGCTTGTTGCTCAGATCTTGGTCTTCGCCGATATCAAACCTTTCTCCCTCTTTCCTCTCCAGGAAATAACGACGGAAGGTATTTGGGTAAGTTGTAAGAGTTGATGGCTCGTATTCTTTTCCAGCCGACTGTTTTCTTGTGTCTCGGATTTCCATGAAAAAATGTTTCAGCATTTTGTTTGAGTTTTCCTTTGTTATGCTCAGGAAATCCAAGTCCTCTCCGTACCGATCCTTGTGCCACAACGCCAGGCGACGCAAAACGGTTTCAGTAGCTTTTACTGTATTTTGTGCTTTTTGATTAACCACGAAGTCATCTATGTCTTCGTCTTGCATGGGTACACAAGTAATTGCATGTTTTGTCGTGGAGTTTTCGTTTAAAACCTTTGATCATGAGTTGTTTTCTTTTTCACAACCTACGTTTCCAACCTCGTCTCCTGGCCCGTCCCCGACTTTCTTATTTTCGATTTCCATGTCAACCATGGGTAAAAAGTCAAAGGAAAATTCAAACAAAGGTTCGTCAAGGTTTTCTTCATGAGATTCGTCCATATTAACGTCTTGAAAAGGTATTTAACGACAATAAATGTTGAAAAAAGTTATTTATCACAACAATGTTGCGACTACGGCCAATACGAAATATATTTTCTCCCAACTAGCCGCCAATATAAACCCGTATTTGTCAGCTCAAAATCGCAATAAGTTATAAATATTTTCTGCTCACCTTAACCAGTTTTCAAGTCTGATTTTTGGTCTTGATTTGCTCTAAATCTCCAGATTTTCGATTTCAATGAAAGACATCCGAGGTAAATTTCACTAAACTTGACATTGTATTGGATTATCTGTAGTTATCTTTCGTTTTTTTAAGTAAAAGAGATTCGAAGCCTAAGACTGTCGGCCTTGGAAAACTTTGTCGAAGAATCTTCCAAGAACAAAACTAGCCCCTGGGGGTGGTGGTGAGTAGTGTACAAAATTCCTAAGTGGGATGGTATACTCGCGCAAAGAAAACAATGTAGTGCATTTCGATTCGATTTCACTGCATGGGTTTTATTATAGGAGAATTTCATTCAAATTGTTCTCCCTGTGACTTCCGTATCGGGAGCTCCGCTTTTAGGCAGTGCCTAAATATATATTACTTTTAGGGAATATAAAATGTTTTCCCTAAAAATTGTTTTAAAATAGTTATTATTTGTATAKGATTTTATTAATTGTTTATCGAAAAGGACTGAAATTGCCTTTTTTATGCTTTCTTATTTATCATCTAGTAACTTATCTGTATCGCCGTGGAAATATTTATCCGCATAGTTTGTGGTCATTGGATAAAAGTTTTTACTTTCAAAATGTTCATATATGAAAATAATAAGGAAATGAGCATTTTTAGCAAAACTTGCTTTGGTTCGTCGTGCACAGTCAGTATCATGTGATGGTACGGTTCAACCTCAAACGCAAAACAATAGCTTTATTCTTTGGAGTTTCCAAACCATTCCACTCCATCAACTATGATACAAACAATTAGGTTTAAGAAGTTTTTTTTTCCAAATGAATTTTACTCGTATTACTGCAGTTTTCGATATTCTGAGAACAAGGAAGTTACGAGCTGCACGCCGAAATTTGGTTTTTTGCTGCCGTCGGTACTTATCGAAATAGCCATACATGTGTTCTAATAGACCTGTACCCCCAGACATGCAATTGTCCGCTGTGAATTTGTCATTTTTAACTAAAGTTTTTTCAGTCGATATAACACCTGACATAATGAATCTTTGTAGGGTTACTAAAATAAAGGTGCTTTTTTCAGTGTTGGTATTGGTTTTTCACTCAGTTTAATTTTAACTCATTCGAATTTGCGGTCGCCATTTTGGCAAAGGGTCAGTGTATTCAGTTCTCGGCTTTGATCGATATCAAAGAGTGCAACAATGTTGCCTGCGCGAGTCAATAACTCGAACTTTCTTTCAAGAAAGAATAATTTCTTCACAAACCCGGAGAATTGAAGACAAGTTAAAAAATATTTGTAAAGGAAATTGTAGAAAAGCTTGGCTTGTTTTGGGGAATAAATGAATGAATTTCTGAATGAGCAGCCTCCCGAAGTGGAGGAAATAATCAACATTCGATGCGGCTGCCTTCGTCTCTTGAAGTGCATTTTTATTAATATTAATTATTCAAAGCACAAAAACTACCATCTCTTTGAGTTCCTGTGATTTTATTTGTAGTTCATTTGCTCATGATTACAGCATGCTTACTTTGAAGTTAACACTCTGAAGACATTTAAATTTTACTCTTTGAATTAATCACTATTCATTTGACCAATTTATTATTTTTTTGAACTACTGAGCTTTTAGTTAACATCAGCTTATCTATAATCTATTATCGAGATCTTGGGAAACAACAAACGCATGTTATAAGTAATTACATGACTTGAGGAAAATTAGTCATTAAATGTCTCCGAAGCCGAGGGGACATTTAATGACTAATATCCCGAAAAAGTCATGTAATTACTTTGTAATAACATGATTTCCGAGGAATAACACTAGAAATATAGAAAAAATGTGTTAGATATAGTTAGATGCATAAATTACAGAGTATTACAAAGCTGCTGATTTACGCAATGACGCTAGGGAATTTGCCTTTTTTTTTAATGACACTATGCAATTGCACACACTTTCATAATTCGAAATTCATTCAGTCATTTGCATATGCACTGATGATATTCATTCAAGTTTAAGCTCGCTAGGATGGCTCAAAGACGTTTTTCTTTCGTATCCCAAGTAAAAGTGGAGGAAGCAAGGGAAAAGACAGTCCCCTTGAGTACCAAAAGGCACACACTTTGGAGTTCCACTGTCTATAAGCATTGGGCCAAAGAGAGAAACAAAGCGTTCGAAGATTTTGAGCCAGAAAACGTAAGATTTCCGAGTGTGCCGATGCTAGAAAACATCACAATCGAGGAAATAGACTACTGGTTCAGTAGATTTGCGGTTGAAGTAAAGAAGAAGGATGGCAGTAATTACTGACACGAAGTTCTATACAATTTATTTTGTGGTTTGAGTCGTGTAATCAAAGAAGTTCATCTAGTAATTTCAATCTTTCATTCAACTCAATTAAAGAAATTTCAGCAAACACTCGACGGTCGCCTAARAGAGCTACAGGCTTCACAACAACCATTTAAAAAGCAAGCGGATGCCATCACAATCAACGATGAAAATGAAATGTGGAGCAAAGGAGTGTTAGGAACRCATTCTCCAGATCTTGCTATCAACACCCTTATGTTTCTTTTTATTGTTCGTTCTTCGTGGAGGGAAAGAACTACGCGAGTTGAGCCATGAGCAGATTGAGTTTGAAGAAAAGCCTGATGGTTCCATGCTTGTTACGTATAAAGAGAAAGTCTCCAAAACGAATCAAGGGGGGTTGATGAGAAGAAAGATTGAGAGAAAGATAGTACAGCACCATGAAGATTCTTCAGATGAGAAGTCTTTCACTTTTAATTACTTCTCCTACATCAACAAATGGTAAGCAGAAAGTGTTAAAACTTTGAAATCACCTACGTAAAATATCATTCCAAATTCATTCTAACATTTGACATTTATTTCGATAGTCCTGATAATGTTCCTGTCCCAGCATTTTACCTCAGGCCCAGAAAAAATTGGAAGTATGGAGATAAAATATGGTTTGATAAAAGTCCTATTGGCCATAATATGCTACAAAACCGATTTAAACAGATGTGCAAAGATGCTGATCTAGATGGTAATTTCACGAACCACTMTGGTCGATCGTTCTACTGCAATAATCATCAAACCGAAAGAAATTTATTTTTGGAGAAAATGTGCAAAAGACACGGAACTGTATGATTTTTTAAGGTATTTACTTTCAAAAAATCAATAAATAGTCTTCGATGATTACAGGTTTGTGTGCGAAATTTTGCAAGATGGAGGTCATGTTCTGTCTTCAGAATGATATTTTAATAGAATCGATAATTTTTTWATTTTATTTAAACATATAAATACTTGAAGTTTACTCCAAGAGCTCTTATTCGAGCTCATCTAGGGAGTTCAATAAATAGAGGATATTACATGGGCGCGCGGAAATACGAAATTTATCTTCGAGTGTTGAAAAGATCTCTCACAAGTGAGCGCAGCGAACGAGTGAGAGATTTTCAACACGARAAGATAAATTTCGTATCTCCAAGCGCCCATGTAATATTCTGTTTATTATATAATTATCAATAAAGTATGTTTTGGCTTTTTCAGGCAATTCTTTCCGTGTATTTTCGAATAACCATCGCAATGGTGTTATTTTCACACGTGAAAATAACATGTTATTTTCACGTGTGAAGATATCAATTTTTCGAAATAGAGAAAAATAGATATTTCATTGGTAATTATATAATAATTGTATTTATTTCGAAAAAACAACAACAAAACAACAACAGTTATATGACAATTCCATATCGTGTCTTGCAAAATGACATGAGCATATGAAGATTTTAAGATCTTGAGCGTCGAAAAAAAAACTACAAAACCTGTGGGTACCTATATATTTTCTGCATTTATTCATTTCATATTCATAAGCTTGAATTGTCTTAAAGGTCTAAAGAACATACTGCGCAGGACAATTCGGRTTTTCTGGCCATGTTTAAACTAGTACTGATGCTACAAATCCAACCTTATCTTCCACGCCATTCGACAGGAAAACCGAGGCCATGCACAATACCAATATCAACAGAATTTTCTTGGCCATTCTTTAAGCTTCTTTACTGCAAAACTGTCCTGAAAATTTCAATTTTTTTGCAGAACTTAATTAGTAAAACTAAATAAGGTGATACGCAGACCAGCATCTGTCTCGTACCAAATGCCGAAGAGGCCTTTGGGAAGGAACGAAACGAAGATAACTGGGTACGAGAATGGTAAGATGTCTAAGATTCTGACATTTTAATATTCTGTGTGCATGCGCAGTTATCCGGAATAACTATCAACTACCTAACTAAGCTTTGAGACACAGGTTTTAAAACCATTGATTCACAAATAAAAAAGATATAGCTGCACTACATTGCCTTCAAACATTATTGCTGCATTTGGATCGAGGAAGGAGTCAGACTTAATCGAAATCAGTGAACTAATGTCAGCCTCGACCGGCAACGCCTGGATTTCTATGGCATGGGTAGCGTAGTGGCTTATCGCTCGCCTCTCACCGCGGTGGTCCGGGTTCCCGGTTCCGATTTTCCTTCCTTCGTAAAGAATCAACATTTGAGTTTGAAAATATAGAATGTAGTGGTAGTGCGTGTTGAGCGMGTCCACTGAAGAGCTCCGTACGTACGGGGAGTGATGGTTGTAAAATACAAGGGTTTTTTT